TTTATTTCATTAAGTTGATCTTCAATCTCTGATATCCTTTCTTCTGCCTGATCAATTTGGCTATTGATACTTGTGTATGCTTTATGCAGTCCTCATGCTGTGATTTTACGCTCCATCAGGTCATTTACACTCTTCTCTGAACTAGTTATTCTAGTAGCTATTCCTTTAACCTTTTTTCACGGTACTTAACTTCCTCACATTGGGTTAGAACATGCTCCTTTAGCTTGGAGGAGTCTGTTATTGCTCACCTTCTGAAGCCTATTTCTGTCAATTGTCACACTCATTCTCTGTCCAGTTTTGTTCTGTTGCTGGTGAGGAGTTGAGAACCATTGGAGGAGATGCATTCTAATTTTTGGAATTTTCAGCCTTTTCTTCTGGCTTTCCTAATCTTTGTGGATTTATCTACCATTGGTCTTTGATGTTGGTGACCTTCAAATGAGGTTTCTGTTTGGACATCCTTTTTGTTGATGTTGATGCTATTTCCTTCTGTTTGTTAGTTTTCCTTCTAACAGGCTCCTCTGCTCCAGGCCTGCTGGAGTTGCTGGAGGTCCACTCCAGACATTCTTTGCCTGGGTATCACCAGCAAAGGCTGCAGAACAGCAAAGATGCCTGCCTGTTTGTTCCTCTGGAGGTTTCGTCTCAGAGGGACACCAGCCAGTTGCCAGTCAGAGCTCTCCTGCATCAAGTGTCTGTCAACCCCTGCTGAGAGGTGTCTCCCAATCAGGAGGAACTGGGGTCAGGGACACACTAGAAAAGTCAGTGTGTCCTTTTGCAGAACTTGAGCACTGTGCTGGGAGATCTGCTGCTCTCTTCAGAGCCAGCAGGCAGGAACATTTAAGTCTGCTGAAGCTGTCCCCACAGATGCCCCTTCCCCCAGGTACTCTGTCACAGGGTGGTGCAAGTTTTATCTCTAAGCCCCTAATTGGGGCTGCTGCCTTTCTTTAAGAGATGGCCTTCCCAGAAAGAAGGAATCATGAGAGGCAGTCTGGCCACAGTGGCTTTGCTGAGCTGCAGTCGCCTCCACCCAGACCTAACTTCCCAGTATCTTTGTTTTCATTGAGGGGAAAACTGCCTACTGAAGCCTCAGTAATGGCAAATGCTCCTCCCCTCACCAAGCTCTAGTGTCCCAGGTCGATTTCAGAATGCTGTGCTGGCAGTGAGAATTTCAAGCTGGTAGATCTTAGCTTGCTGGGCTCCATGGGGTGGGATCTGCTGAGCTAGACCACTTGGCTCTTTGACTTCAGCCCCCTTTCCAGGGGAGAGTGTACAGTTCTGTCTTACTGGCATTCCAAGTGCCACTGGGGCATGAAAAAAAAAAAACAAACAACAACAACAACAACAAAGCTCGTGCAGCTAGCTCAGTGTCTGCCCAAATGGCTGCCCAGTTTTTTGCTTGAAACACAGAGCCCTTGTGGTGTAGGCACCAGAGAAAATGGTGTAGGCACCGGTCTGCAGGTTGTGAGGGTCATAGAAAAAGCATAGTATCTGGGCCGGAGTGCATTGTTTTTCATGGCAATGTCCCTTACAGCTTCCCTTGGCTAGGGGAGGGCGTTCCCTGACCCCTTGCACTTCCCAGGTGAGGTGATGCTCCACCCTGCTCCAGCTCACCCACCATCAGCAGCACTCACTGTCTAACCAGTCCCAGTGAGATGAGCTGGGTACCTCAATTGGATATGCAGAAATCAACCGCCTGCATTGATCTCACTGGCAACTGCAGACTACAGCTGCACCTATTCGGCCATCTTGCCGGCAACCCAACCATCACATTTCTCATTATTTCCTCTCTTTCCTCAGTTACTGTTTTATTTTAAAATGTTAGCATATTTTAAATCTTAACAAGGAATTATTTTGTATCTACAACATCAGGAAAAAATCCCTGAATACAATGTATGTCCTTTTCTTGCTGCCACAACTAGGGTATCTGGTGGAGTTTTCTGTGCTGGACATTATATGACTCATTTTGATTCTCTGCCTTCCATTCCTGTGCAGTCAGTAGTTTAGTTAAGTTTCTATTTCCATTAAGACATGAATAAACATGAATAGATTATCTTACCCTAATACACAATTAAAAAGCTACAAATTTCAGTAGAAATCAGCTTATACAAGTTCCTTTCTTGCCAAATAAATCTATTAATACTATGCTTTGCAGTGTTTAAGCATTGACTCCTTCCTTTTGAATATTTTTACATAATCCTGGGATAACATAAATCATTCAAGTATAAAGTATTATGAAGTTATATGGAAGCAGTATTTGAAAGGTTATGATGACATCAATTTATAAGAGGAACACAATTTATTAATATTTCACTTCAAAGAATATTACTTCTTCAATAATTGACTTAATGCCTTGTTCTATGTTATTATTATATGATTATATTTGCCACATGACAAAAACAATCTACACATAATTTTCTAAAGACCATTTCAATATTTTCCAAACATAGTTTTTACATATTATTATTTTTTACACATTGTTCTAGCCGTTGGTATATCTCACTGTCTTGTTATACTCTCTAGCCAGTAATATACAACTCCTTTACTTTTTTGTATTCTATTTTTTGATACAGATATTCCAATGTAAAATATATTATAATATATTCTATATTCTAAATTGCTCCTACTTTCTTGCCTTATTTTTGAGCAGTGTTAGTGGTAATAGATTTTGTTATTTTAACAGTAATAATGTGATACAGTAAACTATTCAAAGGATAGAGAGAGTAACATTCATGTATTAGTTACTATTCTTTCCCAAGGTGAGTCAGGTATGGTACTAAGGGAAACTAACAAAAACAAAAATTGATAATACAACAACTCTTCACGGGTAAATAATTCTGATGGTCTAGTAAACACTCTAGTGGGGAGAGAAAGCAGATCACTGTGGGAGAAAACAACTCATTTCTGCAAACACTCCCAAGGGTAGGGTAGCAGGATGAGACTTCCTGTGTTTGCATCAACCACTACTTTTATCATGAAGTGCTTATCTAATTAGCTGATCTTCAAGTTTCCTAGAAAGATGTTTCGGACATTTTTTCTGATTAAAAAATATGGAAGTTTACAAAGCTACATAGTACATTATTGAAGCCAAGGTTTTACGTACAATATTAGGTAAGTTTCAGAATTATTTATTACAATTCATATGAACTAGCAAAAAGTAGAGTTTGACAAAGTACTCAGTGTAGATTTTTTAAACTGATTAATAAAAGATGTTTAGAGATCAGCTTTTTCCATATGCATTTCCAGGCTATGCTGATTTTAGCGGAAGGCATGTGAGTAAGTTCAGAGATTCTTTAGCAGAATCTTCAGCAGAGCCAAAAGGTATATTGAAAGGATTATAATAATGTAAGAAGTACATGGTTTCTGTACCTAACCTTACTGAGATCTCACATATGTTTTCAAAGTTTCTTTTATTTTTACATTTAAAAAAATTTATTTATTATACTTTAAGTTCTGGGGTACATGTGCAGAACATGCAGATTTGTTACATAGATATACACATTCCATGGTGGTTTGCTGCATCTATCACCCCATCATCTACATTAGGTATTTCTCTTAATGCTCACTCTCCCCTAGCCCCCATCCCCTGACAGGCCACAGTGTGTAATGATCCATTCCCTGTGTCCATGTGTTCTCATTGTTCAACACTCACTTATGAATGAGAACATGTGGTTTTTGGTTTTCTGTTCTTGTGTCAGTTTGCTGAGAATGATGGTTTTCTGCTTCATCCATGTCCCTACAAAGGACATGAACTCATCCTTTTTTATGGCTGCATAATATTCCATGGTGTATATGTGCCACATCTTCTTTAGTTAGTCTATCTTTGATGGGCATTTGGGTTGGTTCCAAGTCTTTACTGTAGTGAGCAGTGCTGCAATAAACGTACATGTGGCTGTATCTTTATAATAGAATGATTTATAATCCTTTGGGTATATACCCAGGAATGGGATTGCTGGGTCAAATTGTATTTCTATTTCTAGATCCTTGAGGAATTGCCACACTGTCTTCCACAATGATTGAACTAATTTACACTTCCAGCAACAGTGTAAAAGCATTCCTATTTCTCCACATCCTATTTTTACATTTTAAGTGACAAACACCTTGCTAGTAAACCTGTTCTTGTAGGTGTGACCTTTGTTGATTTTCCAACTTTGTGTATTTTTTCTGTTAAATGACCTGTTATTTCGCAGCAGTCAGTAGGAAAAAAGGGAAAGAAAAATAGACAAAATAAGTCGATGACAATTTATGGGTGAAAATAGTCTGCCTTAATTCTGGTGTAAATGTATACACCAGAGTGTATACAGAGTTAGCATGTTTAAGTTCCTTTATAAAGCCTTTAGAAGATCATTGTTTTAACTAGTAAAAGCACTGTTGAAGAAAGACTTTGTGCAATGCTTTTTTATCCAAGCCTAATGTTCATTTTTATTTGGTATTTAAAGTTTGTTTCCATGGCATATCACAGAGGAAATGGTTTCTCTGAAGATCTACTTTAAATTCTTATAAAATGTCATTGATTAAATTTTCTTAAAGTAAATGTTATACTTTATCTGGATTCTTGACTGAAAATGTTCAACACACATACTTTATCCTTTAGCATTTGGATATTGTACTTCCCTGTTCTCTTGAGTGCCAAAACAAATATAATATAAAATAATTTCAAAGTGCAAAAAATAAACCACAGAAAGTTACTGTCTACATTCTTGATAGATAATCATTCAGTATTGTTTGATTGTATTGAGCACAGGCTTTTGGTTTCTCGTAGTTAAAAAATTTTTAAAGTAAAATCTTTTCCAAAATGTTTTCTTACGAAATGTAGAATAATTTGATAGTCAATTTTAAAAAGAAAAATACCTGTTGATATATGTTGTTTTATATGTGATGATTTCAGGATATCAAAATAAGATATTAATATATTAGCTCACTAAAAATCATCTGCATAAAATTCTGGGAACTTGTGTTACCATATTCTTGTTCTTCTCACTTTTATTATTTATTTATCATTGCAGATTAAAAAAATCAACAGAAACTTTCCTGTAAATCAACAGGTAAGATCAAAACATACATGAAAAACTAAATAATATATTTCTTTAATTTTATTTATTATAGAAATAATGCTATCTGATTTATAGACAGAAACAGCTGATACTGTCATTTACTATCTTCAGTGAGAAACATACATTTCAGATATTTCTTTCACATTATGTAATATATTTGTTCTACTTATATTAAAAAGTAGTTTTAAAAATTTGTATGTAAGTCAAAAATTATTGCTTATACAAAATAATTATATGGATTTGAATACATTGTTGAAGAACTTACAGTCTTATTTACATAAGATAGTTTTAGTATATCTTATCTTTTGGGAAGCCTACTTTTGATTTATCTCAAAATTCTAATGGATTTTTCACAATTTGCAGACAGTATTTCAAATGAGTCTTAGTTAATACATAGAACAAAAATAATTTTGATTATTCATCTCTATAAATTTCTTACACTTGATATCAACTTTGATTTGAAACCATTGATCAAATCTAAATATCTAAACTATTTATAAATGATTCATAAATCACGAATTAATTTTAATGATAAAAGTGTTTAAATGCTCTTCTACTTATAAAATGTAAGATCCTTTTCTTATCTAAACCCCAGTTCCCTTATCAGTAACATTTGTATAAGGGCGACTATCCTGTAAGTTTATTTTGAGGATTAAATAATAGCACATGTAAAGTTATCAGTCTATGCTATTATTATCATTAGCATTTCTAAATGTTTACACTTATTCGTTGGAATACAGAATTTATGTTTTGTAGAATTTGTATCATTGATGATGCTGTTAGACCAGACCAACCTGCAAAGCCATGTGTAACTAGAACACACGTGAGAACAGCTTTGGAGAGTTCATTGTGTCTATAACGATCTGAACTAGTTCTTTTCAGCTCCAGGGATCCCCTCCCTCCTACCTTAAGGCCCTCGGTGTGCTGAGCCAAGTTGATATTTTGGATAAATGCAGAAGTTGGAGTGGTGTACTTGTCTTGCCACATTCTGCAGCAGCCTGTAGTTGTTTTTAAGGCCCTTACTTACAGTGTGGAAGCCAGAGCTGTCACCAGTAGCCTCTGCTTACTTGCTCTCTAATGACATCTGGGAAGCTCCCTTTGTTGCTCTCATGCTGTCCCTGGTGATTCTAGCATGGGTGTCACCTTAAGAACTATAGACAGGTGTAGTCCAAGATAGGTGTCATCTTGAGAGCTACAGTTTAATGCTTTTTTTTTTTTTTTTTTTGAGACGGAGTTTCACTCTTGTTACCCAGGCTGGAGTGCAATGGTGCGATCTCAGCTCACCACAACCCCTGCTTCCTGGGTTCAAGCAATTCTTCTACCTCAGCCTCCTGAGTAGCTGGGACTACAGGCACGCGCCACAATGCCCAGCTAATATTTTTTTGTATTTTTAGTAGAGGCGGGGTTTCACCATGTTGACCAGGATGGTCTCAATCTCTTGACGTAGTGATCCACCCGCCTCGGCCTCCCAAAGTGCTGGGATTGTAGCAGTTTAATGCTTTTATAGGGTTCCAGTAGAGGGAAAATGTCATTAATAAGAAATTACTCAAATGCAAGGAAGCATCAGCCATGGGAAAAGATTATAATGCCTATCAGTAGACAAGGCCTGTCAGATCTATTAAAATGGGAATCTATTGTTTTGTGAGTTGTCCAAAATAAAAAATGTTAATTTTTTAATTTAAGAATGACTTTAGACCTGTGTCATCACCGCCCCATTATAACCTCATCATGGAAAATATTAATATAGGTGTAATATGTTACTGCAAGCGGTCATTGCCCTGTAGTTCCAAAGTTGTTCTGTAATCATGATGACGACTACAGCTAACACTTCTCACAGTCAGCTTGCTGATTGGGAGCACTCCTTGCCACCTGTGCTTATATCCAAGTTTAGAATAATACTAAATGAGAATTTGAATCAATCTTACATAGAAAAAATAATAAAAACTGTTTAATATTCTAACACTAGGTTCATAATATTCTGACACATACTCATATATAAGCATAGAGATGCATTAGTATTCATCATTTTATTTGCTAGCATGTTAATGTTTTTCATTATATAATTATTTTAAATCTGAAATTACATAATTCAAAATTATTTTAGATTTTATTTCAATTGTCTTAGCAGCTCAGAATTTTGAAAATCCTAACAAATGCATCCTGGTATTTAAGAAACCCGAAAACAAGTGTTAATAGAGTTTTTTCCTGCTAGTTTCCATCCTATATAAGAAGAATTTTTAAAAATAGGATGAGTTTATAGTTCAACATTTGTATTACTGCAAAATTAGGAAAACTCACCGCACAGTATGATAACAATGCATTAAGAGACTAGAGTACATTTCCTACTTAGTAAAATCTGCACCACTTTAAGGAATTGAAATTTAAAAACACATGTAACCCCATTTCTGATGAGATATATGTTAAAAAACTCCCTCATATTCCTGATGTTGTGGGTATCAAAACAAATATTAAAAGTTATCCAAGCTACAGTGAATCAGATCTTCTCTGCTCCCTGAGATTTGAATTTCAACTTGTACTGCTTGTGTGGTACCACTACCCCGACCAGAGAAATGAAAATAAAAGCAAAACATAGAGAGAACTCCACTGCAGTCCAGCAGAGACCAGCGCTAAGATTAGCTCCACAGGAACTCTGCCACACTGCAGAATGCATGAGATTTTCAAGAAAAACACTCTATATGAAGAACAGGGTTGAGTCCAAAATTATAAACCATGTGAGGAAATAAACCATTATAAAAAATGCATAATTTAGCGATTAAGGAACTATCCAAATATTTTTAATCATAATTTTTTAAAATAAAGAAACCAAAATTGTAAGACAAGGACAGGACATGGTGATAAAATTTGTGGTTGCAAAAAAATGAAACAGGAGTTCAAAAATGAGAGAGAGAAAAAACCACCTACACTTAAAATTAGTTAACCAACTACATAATCCTAGTTATGGTCCCCACTTGAAATCACACCAGTATATCTCCAACTTCACTTTTCGTGAAGAGTAAGTATTCCATTTTCTCCATACATCTGGGACACATTCACCTGTTTGATTTTTATTATTATTATTTATTATTATTATTATTATTATTATTATTTTCTTTTGAGAGAGAGTATTCTTCTGTCACCCAGGTTGGAGCACAGTGGCCTGATCTTGCCTCACTGCAAACTCCACCTCCCGATTCTCCTACCTCAGCCTCCTGAGCAGCTTGGATTACAGGCATGCGCCACCATGCCTGGCTACTTTTTGCATTTTTAGTAGAGACACGGTTTTACCATGTTGGCCAGGCTAGTCTCGAACTCCCGACCTTAAGTGATCCTCTCACCTTGGCCTCCCAAAGTGCTGGGATTACAGGTGTGAGCAACCGTGCCCGGCCTGATTTGGTTCATTTTTACGGTAAACACGTTGAATTCAACTTGCCTTGATAATTTTCTGTTGAAAAGATGAAAGGCAGGACAGTGGTCTAGCTGATGAACAAAACAGCCTATAATTGAATGAATATCAAGTGATGCTGTGTTAATTCCCTCATTGCATTAGCAGTCAAGGCATACAGGCCCAGAACTAGGCCTAAGTCACATTGCTGTATTTACCTAGCCCATTAGATCATAATTGATTACATTTGATTGATTAAATTTTTACTCATTTTTAACTGAAATGAATTTTTACAATTGATTACATAATCGATTAAATTTTTACTTATTTTTAACTGAAATTTCTTCATCCTGAAATAGATCTAATTCCTCCCACAAAAATATCATTTTCAATAAGTTTCTCCTATAATTACCAGGGAGTAACATAACAAAGTATTAATTCATCATTAAAATATTAATATAATGATCTTTGTATCAGGCAATATATAAAATAATGTAATCAAATTGTTTATATTAGTTTAAATTAATAACATTATGCTTATTTAAAAAACATATTAACTCGGGTAGCTATTCCTATAGAAATATTTATATTTGACTAATCATAATCATTTAAACACATTATTAAAGATGTGTACATACCACACATAGAATGTGGGCAGTTGACATAGAGTGACTAGAGTCTCTTATCATGCTGGGGAGAGCTAAGGAATTACAGGAAACCTTAAAACTCCATTTCTGGAGTGGCATCAGAAAAGAAAGAGGAGTGGACTTGACAACAATTTGCTTCTGTATAAAAGCAACAGAAAAACAGCAAAAATAGCATCAACTTTTAATAAATATGAAAATTTGCAAAGGCGCACTGAATCCAAGGAGCATTTATTCAAGAAAAACAGCTGAGCCTTGGCAAGAACAGCAAGTTTTGTGGCACTATAACTGGACCTAGTTTCTGGCAGTATGGTGGCTTACATTGGCAGGGCATAATAATGATGTAGCAACATTTAACATCAGCTAGCCTAAAATTTATAATCTAATCAGCTGTGTATTTAATCCATTCAATTTTAGCTTTCTTGAAGGTGTGTGTGTATGTGTGTGTGTGTGTATTTAAACAAAATATTCTATTAATGAAACTGACAATTGGTCTTTATTTTTGGAGGGATGTCAAAATCTATTTTTTTTTTCCAATTTGAGACAGAAATTCTCCTAGTTCTTTATACATTCAACTTATAAATGTTGAAAACAAATTATAGACTCATACAATCTGGGGATAATGAGCCTCTTGTTCTGGTGTATTTTATAACACCTGGTATAAAATATGCTGGCATTTTATGATCTAAAGGAGAATCCACCTCAAAAAAGTAATATGTCTGTATAAATTAACTCTTGGAAAACCCACTAGTTTATAAATTATTGATAACAAATGTGATGGAAATTTCACAGGAAAATGGGGTATAAATGTTATTTTACAGTTAAACTAAAAGAGCCCACACCTAATTATGGAGAAACTTATGTATTACAATTAAAATAAAATGTACACTTTAGACTACTTGGAAAAGGGTTATTCAAATAACAGAAAGTTGTGTATGTGTGTGTGTTGAATTTATACACATATG